GAAAAGGTGGAGTACAAGTCGGGAGGTGAAAGTTAACAGAAAAGAGCAGGAGGTGCAGGACTGAACACTACCTCTGCAGCTGACAGCTGGAACTCAGTCATCCAGGATGGACAAAGTGGAGCGAGTGATGAAGATGGTGAAGAGGATGTCACCGAGGAAGAGGAGAGAAGGAAACCCAGGAGAGCTGGAGAGCCCCGACACTCTGTGTGATGAACTGTGTCGCTTCAGCCTCTGCATCAGCGGTGAGAGTCTGCAGCTCCGCATGTGTGTGTGTGTGTGTGTGTGTGTGTGTGTGTGTGTGTGTGTGTGTGTGTGTGTGTGTGTGTGTGTGTGTGTGTGTGTGTGTGTGTGTGTGTGTGTGTGTGTGTGTGTGTGTGTGTGTGTGTGTGTGTGTATGTAAAGTGGATTACTGAGGAGTGACAGCATGTTTTTCTCCTCTGCTCTGCCTACCGAATAGGCTCATAGATATTCTGTTTCATTCACACGGCTGCAGGAGTGGCTGATTGGCCGTTTCCTGGTTGCTGCCTTTAAAAGTATAAACTGTCAGAGGCGTCTGAGGCGAACGGTGTTTACAGACAGGATCATCCATACAAGGATTTCAGGATGATGCACATGACCGCGCTACGTCAGACAACCAGAATGCAGCTGTGTCTGGATGGGTTTCCCACATATTCATAAAACATCATCATCATCATCGTCATCGTCATCGTCGTCGTTATCATCATCATCATCATCATCATCATCATCGTCCTCATCGTCATCATCATCATCATCATCATCATCATCATCATCACACTCTTTTCATGACTCATTCTTTCACTCCTTTTTTGTTGCTGACATTTCACCAACAGCTTTAGCTGAAGTTGCACTCGGGATCCCAGAATGCAATGCACTTAGTGATAAACTGGTGGCTTTCAGGAGCAGGAGGGATTTTTCCGTACCATTGGTCGCTTAGCTTTTGTCTGACTTTACAGATGATTTAGATTTCCTTCACCTGAACGTCGTCTCTGGATATCACAGAAACATTTTTCTCTCATGGTTTCTATGAAGTCTTGGTCAAATCTGCAAGCTAAATATCTGTAGTGTTGCTGAAGAGTGAGTCATGGGAATGAGGTTGTTGTGGAGAGAAGAAAGCACTTACAGACATTTACATGTGGGGTCACGATGACCGTTTGTGCACATCTCTACTTGTGAAAGGCACTACATCAGAGGCTCCGACAACATCCATTTTGGTTTTCTACCATCTGAAGCCATAGCTGAGAGCAAATAACCATCTGCCTCTGTTTGCCTTTTCTCTGTCAGGTGTTGGTGCAACAGGACATTCTCCCCCTTAAGATGTAAAACTGAAATAATGCAAATGAAGGAATGCTGGGTTTGCAGCTTCACTTTGATTGGATTTCCTGTTGGAGCATTATTAGCTGCAACAAATCAACAGTTTTCTATATGGGTGTAAAAACCACAGCAGCACATACATATTTCTAATCCTGACCCAAAACGAGTAAGTAAGTGGCCATGGGTATTCTGAACCTCCCACTGCTGATTATTATTTATCCTACTCTAAAATACTTTTACAGACATGTTAATTTGTTCATTTTAATAAAAATGTGATAAATGGAAAAGAGACAGTGAGAGAAATGTTTGAACTAAGCCAAGTGAAGTTTCATCTTCTGTGGTGTAATATTTCAAATAGAACAACCTGGAAAATACGTGAAATATTTTCTTTTGAGACTTAAATCTGAGGGTTTCTATAAATAATGTTTTAAATCTGAGGGTTTCTGTAAATAATGTTTGCATTTTTTTCTAATTAATCGACTCAACCCCATATTTACCTCGCTGCTGCTTCATACTTTGCTATGTGCCTCATGTTCTTCAAAGACTTTTGGGAAGTGTTTGACAGAGTTTCAGATGTTGTTGTTTATTCATTAGCTGGCTTTGATCATGCAAAAACAGCTCAGTATTTTTAAAACAGAGTGAATCCGGGACAAAATTCATAGAAGAGCACGTGTGTTTTCTTTCATCCAACAGTCTTTCTAATCACTCAGCAGAAGCTGAAGGAGCCAGACTTCAAACAGCCGTCAGAATGAACTATCATTATGCCATCGACAAGGAAAGGTCGCTTTGAAAACTACAGGGTATTAAAGGTAAACATCAGAAAATGCTATTTTTCTGCACAACGGATTTCTTGCATCATACAGAAAGTAAATTACGGCATTTTCAGGCTATCATGAGTGGGATAGAAGAAAATGACTTTAAATCAGAATTTTTCAGAACCAAAATTTTACAAAAACTAATCTAATCAACACCCACAAGGAACCACGAGATGGTTCCTTATGGGAGTGATCTGAATCCTTTTGAGCTTTCACCTCCAAGTCTGAATATTCTGGACAAAAAATGCTTATGATGCATTTTATCATCTTTCCTAATGACAAACACGGCTGAACGGATTCAAGCCTTGACTTTAGTTCTAATGATCCTGTAATTAGTCAAATCCAGACACTAAGGCCTAGTCCACACGTAGCCGGGGTTTTTTAAAAACGAATATCCGCCCCTCCAAAAACTTGCATCCACACCACCGCGTTTTAAAAAAAACTCTGTCCACACGTACCCGGATAAATACGTTGTTAAGGACATGCCAGAGCTGTAGGCGGCAGTACTTCCCCCGTTCTTAACCTCGTCCTTCGTCTGTGGTCTTCCGCAAGGAGCAGTAATTCCACTTGCAAAAACAAACAAGCAGAAAGCGCTTGGACAATTGATGGATCGGGTAGTGACAGAGCGCAGCTCTGAGGGCTTCCATGCTGCCGGCTAGTGTAAACACAGGTCGCACACGTGATGTCAGCATTTTTTTGTCGCGGAAAGTGACGTTGCGGACCTTAAAACTCCGGTTTTGTCCGTCCACACGCAGACACCCAAAACGGAGAAAACGCAGATCTTCACTTTGGCCGGAGTTTTTAAAAAGATCCGTTTTCGTGTGAAAAAACTCCGTTTTCGTGTGGATGACAGGCCAAAACGTAGAAAAATATCTGCGTTTTGGCAGATCCCCGGCTACGTGTGGACAGGGCCTAGCTTATGAACTTAAAGGTCTGCAACCCTGGTATTTGAGGTCCCTATCCAGCAAGTTTTGATGCTTCTCTGCTTCAACACCACCAATTGTATTCAGCAGGTGATTAACAGGCTTTTGTAGGGCCTGATGACACAATGAACAGGTGATTCAACCATTGCATCACATTTGTTGGGGTTGGAAACCCCAGTTGTAGATGGTTTTCCAACCCACAGTCTGTGAAGAATCATGATGTTTCCACTTCCAACACTGAAACTCTGGAGCTCCTCAGGGATGTGTCCTTGTCCCCACCTCCTTTTCACATGACTGACGTGATTGTACTGTATGTCTTGGTGATTGCATAGTAAAGTTCACATTTGTCTCTGCTGATCCATAAGAATTTATAGAGGACAGTATAGAGGAGGTTGATGTAAGTAATCATGATTTTTAAACCGATTCCTCCCTTCTGACAATGTTACCAGACCTTTACGTTGAACCTTTCCACCAGACAAACGTGTGTTGTGTAGCATCCGTAAAGCAAAGTGCTTGGCAATTAGCTGTCATTATATTGGATGGCATGTCTTTCTGGGAGAATCCTGGAAGCATTGCTTACACTTTGAGTCAATTTATTGCAAAATAAAACAAAAAAGAAACAACAGAACTTTATGGATACATGCCACCCTCTTTCTCTCTTTGCTTGTAATCTGGTGAACTCCTGAAATCCCACATCGTGTTGCAATTCTCCTGTGATTTCATGACCTCACAGGACCCGCTGCAAGGAACACTTTTGCTGCAGTTAGTTTTTGAAATACCCCCGGTACGAAGGGAGTTTGTGGGGAAAATGTGTCTATTTGCTCCCGCATCCAGTTGAAAGGCTGGGAAAAGGACACACCCCATTTTTGTGATGGCTCTAAAAAACTGTCTCATCAGATATCCCTGCCATGTGGGGTTTGTTAAGAGAACTTTGGTCTGCTTTGAGGCACGTCAGGATGGCTCTAACCCAAAACTGGGGACGTTAAACACCTGTGACCGTCTGAGTCTGACAGTGAGGACAAGCACTGCTTCTTGAATGTGACGTGTAGCCAGTCAGAAAGCAAGGTTACAGAAGCACGCTGCACGCTCCTCCTCCGCCATATTGGTTTACTCTGAAGTCACTTTTGATTTTGAGAGGTTTTGTGGGATTTCCCATCTAATCTGGGAATTTTCAGAAGTGAAATTGATTTGGAGTGTAGTGTGTAGCTTTATCAGCACACCAAACACTGTAGGACTAAAACCCTACGTCGACATGGTCAGGACATAGAAGGGGGTGTGCGGCTAAATAAGTTTGGGAACCACTGATTTAGAATAAAGCAGCTTTTGAACACTTTCTTTGTTTTTCTTCCAGTAAGTGTGACTCATAGAAGAAAGGGTAAAGTTTATAAGCCTGGTGCCAAGAGAAACATTTGGAGTATATTACAGCGAAACACAATAGCTCTTATGGGAGGTGGAACACAAGACTTTTTCAATTGGTTTTGTTTTAAAGGGAGTAAAGGGGCATCAAGGAGCCCATGAAAGCAATTCTTTTTACCCATCCCAGAGAAACTAAAACCAATCTCCCACCATCTTGTACATGTACACCAGGGAATGCTTTACTGGCTGTGTTGCCTTTGATTTTCTTCTTCTTCTACTTCTCGCAAGCAAACAGCTCCTAGAAAAATCTGACACAGCCTTTAAATTAGTGCGAGCTTCATTGGACATTCATGGAGGGTTTTTGTTTTAGAGGACTTCCTATCAAAACAAACACAAAAACATGAAAAAGGTCAGTTCTGAATGCAAAGCGTGGTTGACTCTGGAGAGGAAAATATGTCAGACTTTTGAAGTCAGATAAATCAAAGACTCCTTTTTGTCTAAAAATGTCACTTTTCCCTGCACTGCCGGTCTTCTGACTCTTCCTCCTTCTCTGAAGAAGCTTGATACAGCGGTGTCAGCATTCACCCTTTTGAACAACCTGTGTGTGTGTGTGTGTGTGTGTGTGTGTGTGTGTGTGTGTGTGTGTGTGTGTGTGTGTGTGTGTGTGTGTGTGTGTGTGTGTGTGTGTGTGTGTGTGTGTGTGTGTGTGTGTGTGTGTGCAAGCCTCTGTTAGGGAGAGCATCAGGTACAGAATAACCAGATGAATGAAAACTCCAAAGAACACTGTAATCAAGTGGCTTCCCCCTGAGACGACAG